CAAGCTCTGGGACACAGTTGTCCTTGCTCACAAATTTTGATTGAATGTTCGAGGGCCATTGGAGAAACAGAAGAAAAATCTGTTTGGGATTTTGTTTTAAAGCTGCATTCAGTAAAATGTTCCCTTTTCGCGGTTTAGAACTCAAAAGACCTTTGGTTTATCAATTCTCATCAAGTCTGTCTGAAGCTATCAGCTAAACATATCCTTTGAAGTCTGAGCCAGCATGCAGAAGCTACATTAGCTCACTAGCTCTTACCCCGTGCCTTTATTGCCTAGCGTGTCCACAATAAATATTGAAATCGGCGGTGGCTGCCTTGCAAGTGGATGTTCTGTATTATAAATGTCACCCTACCCTTGGACGGCGGAGCAGTGGCTCGTTCTAATGCCACAGGACAGAGACACAGAAAGAGAGAGAGACACCATGACTGGCAAGGGATTTCAACTTTCAGACTCATCAAAGCAACATCAGTGTCTACTTGCATGTTTATGAATAAAAAAGGAGATGGATACTGTGCAAAAAAGAGGGATAAAATGATAGTGGTAGAGGGATAGCGAGATGATCAAAAAGTCAGAAGAGAAGAACAAAAAGAAAATGTTTTCTGCTCCTTATTCTCTGGGGCCTCTTTGCTGTAAAATACATCAGAGCTTCACCTCTTCAGGCCTCTTAAAGTTATAGAAAATTAATCTAAAAAAGCTGTTTCCTTAAGTTGCTCACAGGCTGTAGAACTATGTAACCTTTGATGAGGAGTCATGAGCTGACTTTTACATCTCGTTTACAAGCCACAAAGGTTAAGAGCCACTAAGCAAGACACCTTTAATAATGTCAACTGCAGTCCAAGATGGTGCCCAGACTCTTACCCCCAAATGATTTGTCATTGTTAGCAGCATTTTCAAACAACAAAGACAAATTGTGCTAGCTCCTGGAATGACTGCTAAAAATATGATACACCCCGACTAAAAGCATCCTCACTTCCTCTCTGCCTGTCATAAACTATACCTGGAGCTTTCTACTGCACAAATTAATGATGCAACTGAATATATTATTAACGCCTAGCTGCTGATTCTGTGGCCAATGTTTTGAAATACGACTAATGGTCCTATAAATTTCTCTTCATTTTATTTTTTATTTGTTACACTCATGGTAATCCACCATGCCTAAAAATAAGAAACAGAAATAAAGGTGATTCACAATCAAAAACAACTGTATTTGCACATCCCATGAAAAAAAATTTATCTTTATTTATCTTACTTTTTTGCTTGTTCTCTTCTGGCCTGTTTCTTTTCTATACGTTTTAATATGTTGTTTTAATATTCAATAAAAAGTTGATCACAAAAAGACAGTGGTTGTCTTAATACCACTAAATGTACGTTTACTCCATTGCTCATTCAACCCAAAATGTTAGCTTGCTAAAGACCGTGTAGCCCAATCATAAATACATGTGAGTTGGAAAGACTTAAATTGGCGTCCACTCATTTAGGCTTTCACCACTCATGTTTGTTCAGCCCCATTGTAGGGAATTGTGGTGTATGTCTCTTGACGATTTTACCACAGAAGCAAACATCTAAACCTACAAAACCAATAATTTTGTCTCAGTTTTTATCTTGCATAATGCTTGTGCGTCATATTCTGAGGTCTCTTTTACCTCAGCGAGACACCATAAGCAGGACAGATAGAAAGTGAGAGTGAAACTACACAGCAACTTCAAATTTATGTAAAGGAGATGTGTATGTACAACACCCTACATCAGCAAGAGAAGAAGGTAGCTGGCAGAAACCCTCCTATTCCTGTTTTTACTTCTCTCTCGCTCTTTATGCACAGCTTTATCCCACCACAAAGACTTAACCTCTGCAGACAACACCTCAGAATTACAATGGGTAGATTGAGTACTTCTATTTCATGTTCTGTGCAGCTGGTAAAAAATGAATCTGATTATCTGCAGTCTGGATAGGATGCTTAGCAAAAACCCTCTTAAAATACAGATAAAAGCACCATTTTTTGTGTGTGTTGATAAATTGAAAACTCTGCACACCATTAATAACTTCACCCAATACACACACCACTGTTATTATCACAGGTTCCCACAATGAATTGCAAGGGAAATGTACACAAATCCTCCGCACCCCTCACCATATTTCATCTTTGTAGTCACCTCCCCATCCTATACTTCTTTTTCTTCCTCTGAACTCTCGGTTGTCATTCTCCTGTTTTCCTCATCTTCTTCTTCTTCTATTTTTCGTCCTTCCTGTCACCTTCCCCTGCATCATCGTCTTCTTCCTTCTATGCGTGGCTAAGATCCTGTTTCCTGTCTCAGCTGCGCCTCCTTTGTAATAAAACACTCTATGCAACAGGTTTCATGTCATACACTGAATGAGGCCGTTTCCACCCATATTATGAGGATAGAACCAAACTCATTCTTGAAACATTATAGGGTAATTGTGAGGGCATTTACCTCTGCACAGATGTACTGCAATGCATCCTCAGTATAGTTTTCATATGGGAAACAGCAACTTTCCACTGACCCCAACACAAATTCGGTTAGGGAAATAGCAGGTCCCTTGGGTGGGGTGCCACACTGAATGCTGTATAGAGGCAGAACCAATGATCTATATTTCAATATATGTTGTAAGTCCACGCACTCTGGAGGCAGAGGGGGGAATGTTGTGAAAGAAATCCCCCTAACAGTAAATATTTGAATAAAAACAAAAAAATCTAAATATCCTAAGAAGCAGCCCACTCATTCTTACAAATATGTAATCTAAAATCTCCTCCACTGCACTGTAGATATACTGTATGTCACATATTGTTTGGTGAAGGAGCTCCCTGGCAGTCCTCCTCCTCCTCCTCCTCCTCCTCCTTCAGAGAGAGTGCTAATGAAGCAGGAGGCTGGTCAGATGGGAGAGTCTCCAACTCTCCACTTGGGTTCCAAGCAATCAATAATATACAGACGGCCACCCTCGCCTTCCTCTCTCTCCTGCTCCTTCTCTTTCATTTTCTGTCCTTTTTTCTCTTCATCTTCATTATTTTACTCACTATATCCTTTTATTTGTTTTCACCACCTCTGCCGTATATGGCCCCTCCCCTGACCTCCGGCACCTTTAATACTCTAATTTCTCCTATTAGCAGTTTTGCCTTCCCCTCTTTTAGACAGTTAGCACTGAAGGTGTTATAAATCTACCTTGTAATTAGTATGACACTTGCAGCTGAATTTCTTTTTTATTCACAACTAATTTACTTCTCAGTCTTCGCAGTGTTTTGACATTCCAGAAGTTGCGCTCACAAATTCTCAGAGAGTTTGGAAGAAAACAAACTTGCTGTCAGGAAACTCTAATCAGAAAACACCGATGGAAATTTAAAAAAAAAAAACGGTGCACATTCAAACTGCCTTAATACAAAGTTACACGAGGTATCCTATCCATCTCTCAGATACTTTGAGGCCCCCAAGGGCACACTTTGCAGCATGTGAATCAACAGTGCCCCCTGCAGCCCACCAGAGGACATGCACCTCAGTAATGTTCAGTGAAGTTGATCCCTCTACTCTTTTAACCAGCCTTAGCCCCCCAGCTATCTCCTCCCACAAGAGGGAATTGTGTAAGTGGATTTAAATAAATTAATGCCTCTTTTGCAGGCCTAGGGAAAACACAGCAGAAAATAGTCTAAAACAAAAAAAATTCTACTGCTGTCGCATTCACACAGATAAAGAAAAACATATATTTTTCCTAGCTTACGCCTATAGGCCCACGTTAAAGATGGCAGCAATTTGAATATGTCCTGCCTAATTCCACATTTAGGCTGAGCCGGCGTTCTCTAGGGACTGAATACAAAGCAGCGTGCAAGAAAGACACTTGACTAGTCAGCTGGAACAACACTATCCAGGCTCGGGGGATAATCAGTCCCACCATTTTGAGACAAAAACAGCTTTAAACAAAACCAGTCAAATGCCTGAAGGCCATAACTAAAATGTTCAGTATCCATGCCAACAAACTGCAGTCCTGTGTAGCATTTACAGTCTATAATATATTTCAAATATTTGTCAAAACATGAAGAGCACTAGATTAGTCTTATCTCACTAGTATGTGTTCATATTTGAAGTCTAGATAAAATATTTCAAATCAAATCAAAGGCTGAAAATGATTTCACGTGAAAAAGAATCAGCCTTTTGAGTTCTCACTCCTTTTTGCTACAGCAGCAGAGAAATCCTTCTCCCAGTGGAAAAGAAAGAAATGAGTAAGGGAGGCTCGTGAGATCTTTGCTATTAGACTAACTACACAGAATTAGCTAATTGGCATCCAAACAAACTCTACTGAATACAAATGAATGGAAAAAGGGAAACACTAGGGTGGAAACAGTCAGAACCATATGTGCATCATGTTCCTGCAGTTTTTCTTTATAATTACAAATATTTAGGCCTCATTGGGATGCTGCACCAAAATCCTTTATGTAATACAATGTTTTAAATTGACACTAATATCTATACGCAACATTTGAATATTAAGAATATAAATAAGTAATCCATAACTAACATCACCAATAAAGTCACCAATAAGGCAGACATCTAGACTAAATCTAAAACATATTGCAAAGCCCGGATACTGTGCATAAAATCACACAGTTCAATGCTAGTTACAACGCTGTTCAATCCTAGCTCCAAAGTCAGTCTCTCAAGAGAACAAAGACACCCTGGAGGTTTTAGATAACAAGCTCCCTGATCTCTGGTCTTTACACTACAGTTACTCTGGAGCCAGATGTACGTCTGCCTCTGGGTCAAGACAGACACCAGTGGGATTACCATCTATTAGCAAAGAAATAGGGACAGATTGGAGATGCTTCTCATTTGGCATAAACACAGAACAGTTCTCTGATTACAGTGGATAATAGGGTTCTTTAGTTGTTGTTGTGGTTACAATGGGGGGAGTGAGGAGAAGCAGAGCAAGAAAAATAATGACAGTCGTGTACACTGTTCATGCTCTGTGTGTGTGTAGGTGTGTGTGTGTGTTCACACCTCAGAATCTTCACTGCGGAGCCCCAGTTGGAGGACAGCACTGGGAGACTTCAGTCTGGCTTGGCTGGACTGGGCCATCTGCAGGTTTAACTGCCAGCCGACGTACTCCAGCTGAAACACATGAATGGAGCCAGTCTTTCTTTAATATTCAAACAGTCTTAATAAAGCCTCACACTTCTATTTAATTAATACCCTTGACACATTTATAAAGACTTTAAGAAATTCAAAGTGGCACTTTTCACACAAAATAACAGTAGAAGCAGAATTTCTGAAGGAATATTCATTTTTGTTTACATTTATGCATATTTTGATATTTTATTCATACGTTTACCTCATTGTATTCTCACTAGATTTTTCATCGTTCCCTTGATAATTCTAGATTTTGACAAGTGCTACATTAATCAACTTTATTATAATAAATGTGCAAATAGAAAACACTCAATCAATCAAATGATTATTCATTTTCTTTTAGTGGATTAATTGATTAATCAACTAATTGTTGCAGCTCTGACTTGTTCTAGATTTTCCAGCATATTGTCGGTTTATTTATGAGAAGTCGTAACTTTCTCACCTAAACTACACTTAACTCAGTCTTTGAAGAATAATACGTTTTTATATACATTTTTGAGTGTGCACACTTTATTAATGGCTTTTTGGCTAACCATGTACTGACCAGATGACCTATAGCCAACAGTATTACTATAATTCACTGTATCACCACACTTATGAATATAATCATTATAACAGACATGAAGATTTACCACTATAGAACTTTGCTTAATCTCCTCAAAGTTTAAGTTACCTTGCTTCCAAGCTGCAGGTTGTCAGACTATTATTCTCAGTCGTAGTCAGCTGTAGCAGTGTGATAGATTAGCAGCACTGAGTCAAGGCAGGGCAGTTAAGTGTTTTATGATGCAGAGAGAGGCCATAATAATAAACCATGTGTGACTTATTGGGTCTGGATGCTTTCACAGCATCTGAGGACAGGTGTGAGGCAGGGAAGGGCTGGGCCACATTATTCACGACTGGAACAACATCCACACTAGCATGAATAAACATCGCACCTGTATGATGTTTTACTTATTTTACCATCAGTATATGGAAATTATTCAATTTCATTTAAATTAATACGTATGCTGTATATTAATATCATGTAATACATAAATGACTTATTAAATATAATTACATTTCATAAAAACAGGTAGTACCTTTTTGATGTATTTAATAGTTTGTTTCTGTATTACCTGCTCCATCGTACTGTTAGTCAATATGTTTTGGTAGGTGTTAAATTTGAAATTTGTAGCCATCCAAGAAGGAGTTCACTCATTTTAAAAGCAAACGCAGTTAATTAAAGCAGTAATCACAGTTATAATCACTGTTCACTGCATACAAAGATACATATCTGTAAACAGCAACTGGGCTGGCCAATCAGACAACTATCAGTGACCAATATAAAGACTAACTTAAAACTCCACACACAAAAGTGACCTAAACAACACTTGATATTTGTTCAAGCTGGGTTGTATTTATTCCTAAAATTGTTGTCAAAACCTGCTTTATATTTAATAGAAAAAGGATGAGAAAATATGTGTTAAAAAATAGTTATATAAAGTCTCTTGTGTGACTTAAATATTTCCCAAAGTCAAAGAGGTGGCAGAGGTCGTCTCAAGGATCAATGGTTGTCACCACCTCCTGCTGGGAGCAACAAATTCATGGGGGAGACGAAGATTACTTCCGAGACCCCGACAGGTGAGATGTCTTAATGTATGACAGCAGCAACAACTCCAGCATAAGGTGAGTGATGTGTACATGCTGCTTATTTACTCTGTGTTAGATCTTAATTCCCTTGACTTTGAAAGGAACGCTGTTTGAAGTGTCACTGCTTAATAAAGTTAGAGAGAGGAACAAGTTTTAAAGTCAATGTGACAACTTGTGTAAGCTGTGAAAGAACTTTTTGTAATCCAAACAGCTGGAATGAATTCAAATAAAAGCAGGTCAGTCTGGATATGGATCGTCCGATGTTGATTCTCAATTTAGTATCAAGTGATTATAATGTCTCACTAAAGAGTGCTCAGTGCAAAACAGTGATAAAATAGTGTGAAAAGTGGGCTATAATTACTGGGTGGGAGCTGATTCATAACTTCGGTTTAGACACATTGTAAGGTTAAGGTTCAAAAAGTATCTTCATGGCAAGTGTAAGCTTAAACTTAAAAATAATACTTACCTTCTTTGGGGCAAAGACACTGTGCTTTAGTCTGTCCACCAGCTCAGGTCCAGCTGTGGCCCAGGTTTGAGAGAACATCTCAGCCTTGTCTGGGTTCAGATGAACCGCCTCCAGCTGTTGCTGCAGAGAGGCCGGCTTTACATTATGATACACTGCCTAGAGAGAGAGGAGATACAAGGGAGAGTAGGAACTGTGTAATGATTGTTGCCATTAACCATGTTTTACAGGTGTAACGGCTCACTCTTACAGTCCTATTTGAATTTACTCAACTCAACATTGCTATAATACAATAATTCACTATACAACAGTGACCCCAGCTGGAGAAATGGGCTCATAATGTGATTCACAAAAAGGCACAAAAGCTACAGACAATGTTACCATACAGACACAATGTTTAAATTCTTTCTTTAAAGGTGAGGTTCTCACATATTGAGTTATGAAAAATATGCACTTATGCACAAAGTATAAAACCAGAGATTTGTGAACTGTGTTGTTGTTGTTACACAGCTACACAGTTACTGTAAATAATAATAGTCACTGTCGCTATTGTTTCTGTATAATATAAACAACCACAAGAAGTTAAATATAAAATGTCTTCTTCTGCATTAAAAAAAGTTAATTAGTCATCATATTTCTTCTTTTACAAATCCAATTGTAATCTTCACACAGAGCCTTTTTCTTATTTGGCCTTCTCCATCGCTGTTGACCACTTAATACATTGAATATGCTGACAGAACAAAGAGCCCTCATACAAGAAACTGAGACTTAGTTGTATTAGCATTTCAATCAAACAAAAATCATGTAAAACCCTTATAATAATGTCCGACCCCCACCCCTCACCTGCTCTAGTATAAAGGCAGCAGTTTCCAGGACTAGACTGAGAGCCTGTTTGTCCAATGAGAGAGCAGCCTGAAGTTTCTGCTCCTCTTCTTCACTGAATGTCCGCTCTCCCTAAAAAAATAAAAATAAATATATAATTTACTGCGTGGATATGAAAAGATCCTCAAAATATCCCTGTTTTCAAGACAAGAAAAAAGCTACATTCTGATTGAGAATCAACATTTTTGGAAAACAAAAATATTAAAAAATAAAAATACATTGTCTCAGTTTATGAGGAGGTCAAATATCAAATTGAAAGACATTAATACAATATATATATAATGCATTTTGGAGGAAGGCAGACACAAATTCATAATGAAATAACATAAAATACAATAAAGCAAAATCATTTATTATAAGATGTGAATTGACCTTTTTCTCAGCAGAAATTGCGTCTCGTCAGAGCATCAAAAGCTAAGGTTAAACTAATAGCTCTATTCTAATTAAGTGTAACAAAAAGCCAGTGAGAAATCATGCAAAACAGTCATTATTAATGTTATTAGTTACACCCATGCTTTCATGATATGTCATGACATTTCCATTACATTATGTATTATCATTAACCAATATTAATGTATTTTAGCAAGTCAAAGTATAAAACTAAACGGACAAATTGTTCTTGGAATAAATGATTGACACCTTTTGACAGCCAGCTAATTCTTGTGAAATCACAGAATGATCAACAGGGCCAGGCATGAGTGTGCATTCATTAGAGTCAAGTCTGATTGATGCTCCAATAAGTCATTATGCATGCACTGCTCTCTGTGAAACTATAGCCTCACTGAAAAAGCCTCAAAAGCCTCAAAAGCCTCGTCTTTGGCACAGACAGCACTGTGCAGCCTCTGTACCTTCAGATGAAGCTTTTGTATGATGCGGGAGATCAGCCTGGAGAACTTGTTCACATCAATCGCGTTGATGAAAGTCACTGCTTCTTTTATGCTGTTTGGAAAGAAGAGTCATGAGCGTTGGAGACAGTGGCGTAGAGAGTACGTAGATCTTTAAGTTAAGGAACAGTAAGAGTTTACTGATGTCATATATCAAATGTATTTTACTCTAGCTGTCAGTGAATTTCAAAGGTAACTATAAATTGCCAACAAATGCACATAAACTATAAATATAGCAGCAGCAACACAAAGCATTAACAGAATGGCACAATGTTACACATTGGACCTTTAAGTTACCAGTTCTGAAGAATGGTGGCCCAGTTTGTGCATCTTACATAATAACTGGTCTTACAGTTGAGATGTGAGTATGTATGTGTCTACTGGATCCTCCTTTTTTTCTACAGTGACTTTTAATCCAAAACATACTTCCTTATAATATTATTTCCAAAAATTATAAAAAGGCTTTTTTTCCCCCTCAAATGTGTACTACTACTAATATATTACAGGTGGTTTGGTTGTCCTATACTGATGCCTAATTTGAGCCAAAAACAATGCATCATAGCTACAGTATCATGGGAATTAAAAGTATAAAACCTCTAACTGCAAAGTAGCTTGTGAAATGTAAGCTGAAATCTTACACCATTTATATTTCCCTGTAGTTAAGTATTGTGCTTAAGTAAGTCTTACTATAAGAAAATGCTCAAGTGGACTGCCAATATCTAGACCAAGTATGGCTGGTGGCCTTTATCCACCACAAAACACATTTCATGTAACTTTTACAAGTGTATTCATTGAAAGAAGGCAGCTTCCAATTTCATTGAAAACAAATGTTCAAGAAAAACCGATGAAGACACAGTTTAATAACGACAGCAGTTCAATGAGTCGTCTCCAAAGTAGTGCAACTTGTTGGCTAAAGTCCACCATTTATTCAATAAATCACAATATCGATAACCTAGGATGGATTCAGGCTACAGGCAGCTTTGCGTTAGCTGCTGGATGAATTATTTATCGGAGAATTCAAAACAAAAATCTGCTCACCTTTGTGTTTCTTTTATAATTGAAGTCATTGTTGTGTGTCTGTGTGCAAATGAAAGATTGTGTAAAGTATCAAAACAGCAGCAGCAGCATCCTCACTGTTGTCATTCCTCCTTCCTGTTGTCACGAGACGGCTCACGTGACAGTCAAAGCTGCGCGAGAATGCGCAGTGACGTACGGGATGGAGAAAATTCAAAAGTTTGAAGAAAAACAAAAGAAAGCGTTTGATAATGTACTCAAACGCAACAGTGTCAACAATAACGTAGTCGTTCATTTTACAGTAACTCTGGCAGCACAATCATACGTCGGAGCGCAGTTTGCGTAAAAACTACGCACACGGAAAGTGTTTGTGTCTGTCAATGGTCACTACGGAAAAAGCAAAGGACAAACAGAGCTGGCAACAAATGTGCGACAGCAGAAGTATCATCACTGTTTTAGAGCCATGATTTTAAAAAGTATTAAGGTACACCTTATAATTTGACTGGTATCCCCTAAAAAAGGCTTATACGTTGTCACTGCTGCTTCTGTCGTGGTTAATAAATGGTCAGTCAGTTATCTGTTCAGTCATCATATTATATATACATATTATTATAATATTATTATAAATATTATTATTATCATTATATACTGTTAATTAACAATAACACTACCATCATGTCATCAGTACTATTACCACCATCTTGCAACTACAACTCTTTGCACCTTACCTACCTATTTATCTTTTTTGTTACTATTTATCTTTTATTTTTTTATCTAAGTATTTTTTGATTTATTGTTGTATTTTATTGCTATTGATTTTATTGTATTCTGACATGCTACCCTGGCTGCTATGACGACCCAATTCCTGTCGGGATTAATAAGAGTCTATTATCGGTATCGCTGATCGGTATCGCTATCTATCTATCCTATGCGGTATCGGTATCGGTGGTATCGGATCTATTATCAATGCCTCACAGTTAATTTCAGAAGACATTAATCAGAAACACATTTTATTGGGTTTACCAGGGTTTGAGATACCTCGTCGGGGGGCAAAAGTTCTTCCATAGATCCGGGGAAGTTGCTAGTTCTGCTGGAAGGAATTACGAAAAACACCCAGTGTAGGACTGAATCAAGATTCTTGTACTCATGCAGGCATTTTTTGGAGGCGAAGAAGCCACGCAGCATAGAATGTTCGCCTCCCAGGACTTCTAGAAGCTTATATTAACCCCTCTGTGTTACACATTAAACGGATACAGGCTGTTGTCCTGGCAACATTGCCTAAGTCTAATTTAGACACATGGGCAGTTTTTAAGGTCTTTCACATTGGTCCCTGTGAACCTGTGTGTGACAAGCTGTCCTGAGCGGGTGGCGTCTCCTACCGATAATAACCAATCCCTAGACCAGAACGTATACAGGGGTAGATTAACTTCCCCACCTAAAACATTCATTTACCACATACCAATTCCAAATTCCAAAAATAATTTATTCTTTGTTTTTGGTATTAATGCAGTTATAAATGTTGGTAATCCAATAATAAATGCTCATTGGTTTTTCACTTTCTAATATGTGATCAATAATCCCTCTGCAGTCATCAATAAAGGGTAGATCAAGTCTGCAACTAAGTGTTTATAAGAATCAGAAATAGGTTTTTTGCCATGTAGATGTTCAAATAAGGACTTTGCCTTGGTATTTTGGTGCATAATGCTCAAAGTAAACATAGTGAAAGAAAAAAGAATTTCAAAAATATGTGAAATGTGAGCTCTAGAGTGCTCAAAGAGGGTGGAATGTGCAAAATATTGACCAAGGAGTGCGCAAATGTTCACAGTACAGAAAATATGTGCAATGTACAACCTAATTATCCAAAGCTTTGCATTAATGTAACTTTGATGTGTTAACAAGATGTAAACAAAACTATCATCTGCAGCCCTTTTTAAGGAATAAGTGGTCAAAGGGTTGGACCAGGAAAGTTTTCACAACCCAAATGTTGGCCTTTTTAAGTGTATGTTACTGATCTATAACGAAAATGATTTATTACCCATTAATACAGACATCAGTTACATCTTATAAACTCTTAAATAAAGGGGCACATTTACTGTTTCACTACATGACCTGCCATACCTGCGACATGCTGCATCTAAGAAGATTTTCATAAATATACTGTATCAAACACATACTGACAATATAAGATAACAGCAATAATGAAATAAGACAAACACACAGGTTGAGTTTCGACAATTTATTATGTTGAAAAAGAAGAGAGAAAAAAGTCATGCACAGATTAAAATTAAGAGAAATATTTGATAAGACATGATAAATCATTTAAAAATATTTTGCATAAAAATAAGAAAAGGAAAACAAAAACATTTCAGCATATATATTCATAATTCTATCACACAGCATATTTGCAATATAATAATATTCTTTACTTTTTGCACTGATTTTACAAACGAGCTGTAATGTATGACTTTCAATACTGTAGCAGACCTGTCCCAATTTGGTATTCGAAATGGTTTCATGCTCTTTCCACCATGGATTGATTCCTCTAGTCTGGAATAACCAAACATATGAGACTGTCCCAACACTTCACTACCCGCCACACTCAAGTAAACATTTGAGTCAGTGAAATTATTTCAGTTACAAACTGACACAGATCTGTACTGTAGCAGCTAACCGTCAAGGGCCAACCCCCAGCGAGGCAGAAGGAATGTACCACTGATAAATAAATACTTCCATTTTCCTTCCAACAGAAAAAGAAACACATAAAACACTCTTTTCTTTAACAGGAAAAACAAAGAGATAACACCAGAACAAGGAGTGTCAAATCACACAGTACCTTCAAGATGTATAGTTTTGATAAAAGTTAGTAATTTGAGGTTTTGGTAAACAGATTGCATCACGGTAAACACTGGCTGACATCTGCAGGTTCAAGCTCTCGCTGCCACTATTTGAAGGAGGGTAAATTTGGCACTTTTATGCTGATGTCACCAATGTTGATGTTTCTGGGCATTTCCGGGAGGTTCATGTTCTTTACAGCTGATACGGCACGAGCAGGCGCTCCTGCAATACCGGCCTATACACACACACACAAACACACACACACAAAACACACACATGGAGGGTTGATAAGATACAAATCAGTAAATCAAAAAACGTGCTGTACATGACAAAACACTGAACAATGAACACTGGACACACAGTGCTAAACAGAGTACTAGACGAAAAACTGCTGACAAAATGCAAAAGCACTGACAGCTACTAGGACAAACAACATGTGCAAATGTACATTCAGATGCCTTCATAGCTTCATATGCACATGCATTATTTGGTTCTACAAATGATTTACACCACAACCAGAGCCAATTATGAATCAACTGTGAGGACATACTGTACTAGACCATTCACTAATTTTGATGTACTGAGCAGTACTGGACATTCATCAAATGGACAAAAGGCAGCATTGCTTGGAAAGTGAACCCACCGGACTCTTGAGGACCGATAAGGGTAAAAATGCAAGGAGAGAATTGGGTAAAGCAGAAAAAATGGATTTGGATATGAAGACGGAAATGATGTTTGGATAGATAGGTATGTATAGAATGTGTGCGTCAAATTTAAAGCAATGTGTCAACATAATATAACCCGTAGTAATACATGTACGTCTAGTGGGTTGAATTACTTCTGGAAACTCTACACATGACTGTAGCTAACATTTTTGTCTGGGCACTTATTTGTGAATACAAGAATATTGTGCCATGTACACGTATTATTATAGTGTTAACTACTGATGACATGAGGAGGTTATAAGTCTAGTAGTGCTAATCTACAATGGGACATCTATTCTCAGAGACAGAGGAGGCACGTCACTCTAACACAATGAATCTCAATGTGAAACTGTATAGAAGGAATTTGGTGTTTTTTAAGGAAAGGCAGTTTAGCTTTTTGGAACAATAAAACACATCTGTAGAGAGTCAATGATGTTTTCGTCTCAAGTGTGAGCAGACATTTGAGAATCACTGCGGTTAGAGAGCCCCCCAACTGAATCTTTAGCAGAAAGACCCAAAAATGACCAAAAGGCTTAAAACACAGAAAACTGTGTGTTCATTATCTCCGTTAGGAACGCAGTCAAATGAAAAGCCTTGTAAATCATTTAGGTATATGACACACATAAAGTATGTCTGGAATGTAGTTTCACAAGGTTATTTCAATAGACCGTTTGTCCTATGGGCATTCCTCCTGCTGCCAACAATCAAGGAGACTTGTGTTTTATAGAGGGATGACCATGGCGTTAACTGAGAGGAATGCTGATCCAGCACATGGGCTCAGTATTCAGGAGTCAGACTCGAGATATTTTTTGCCTCACAGTGGGTAGCTTGGAAAACCTACTGTCCAAATCCACAACAGTGGGTTTTTAATCAAATGCTGGGTGACTAATTTGTACAGAAATAGTAACACCAGCTGTGTAACTCACGACAATCGTTAGATTCTCTGGTCTATGTAAGTATTTCAGAGAGGCTTTTTAAAGGCTGGAGCAGTACCCCATCTCTTGTCTGTGAGGGATATTAGTGCAAAAGAAAAACAGGATTAATATCTACAGTGTTTTTTCTTCTTATTGTTGTTGACAAACTACATGTGGTTTAGTGGGTGAGACCTTAAAGGAATAGATCATCATTTTGGGTAATTCGATTGTTGGCTTTTTTGGAGAGAGTTAGATGACAAACACTCCCATTTCTGCATGGTAAATATGTAGCTTCAGCTAGCAGCAGCTCATCTCAGCTTAGCACAAAGACTGGAAACAGAGGGAAATCCACCTACCAGCACAAATGAACAGATTACATCTCTTTATTCAACCTGTACAAAGACTTTTAACAGGGGTTATGTGTCAACCTATTTCTTTGCCAGGACAAGTAACTTCCCTTTTCTACTGGTTGCCTGGCAACTAGTGGAAAGCCAACAAACAGTCCAGTGCATAACCCCCCAGAAACAACAAGTTGTATAAAGATATAAACTATTAATAAGCCAGCTTGCCAGAGGTGCTGTTGCGCAGATTCTGTTACCTTTGGACAGAACCAGACTAGCTGTTTCCTCCAGATTAAATTTTTTATGCTAAGCTAAGATAACCAGCTGCTTGATCTGGCTATATATCTACGATTCAGATAC